CCTAGAATATAGAAGTTGTGGTTTAGTCTGTTTACCACGTTCAAATTTGCTTCCGTTGCTTAAGGTAGTTGAACTCCACAAAATCTGCTGTTGTTGTGTTAGTGGTTATTGTGGAGATTGTTATTTTTTGTAAGCTTTGTTTTTCATATATATAAGAGAGGAAAACTGCAGTATTTTCAACACTGCGAAATACTCTGTTCAAGCATCCTTTACGTTAAAGTTAATTTCAGTTTTTAACATTTGGTATCAAAGCCCCTTCTGGGTCTGAACAAACTTGAAAAAAGTGAAAGATTGTGTCTTGCAGCAGCAAGAAACAATGGCAACTGACAAAGCCACTGAGAGTTATGTTCAACCAGCGATTCCACGATTTGATGGTCACTACGACCATTGGAGCATGCTGATGGAAAATTTTCTCAGGTCAAAGGAGTATTGGAATCTTGTGGAATCAGGAATTGACGCCCCAGCAGAGGGAGTTGTGTTGACTGAACAACAACAAAAGAGGGTTGCTGAACAGAAGCTGAAGGACTTGAAGGTGAAAAATTACCTTTTTCAGGCACTTGATCGATCCATCCTGGAGACTATACTCGAGAAGGAGACCTCCAAACAAATATGGGATTCTTTGAAGAAGAAATATGAAGGGTCAGATAGGGTGAAGCGTGCAGTGCTTCAAACTCTAACAAGGGATTTTGAAAATCTACAAATGAAATCAGGAGAGTCCATCACTGATTTCTTTGCTAGAACCCTGGGAATAGCAAGCAAGATGAGATCCAATGGTGGCACCATGGAAGAAGTCAAAGTTGTGGAGAAGATTATGAGATCATTGACTCCAAAATTTGACTACATTGTCTGTTCAATTGAGGAGGCAAAGAATGTTGCTGAGTTACGAGTTGATGAACTACAAAGCTCTTTGTTAGTGCATGAACAAAGACTTAACCGCACCACTGCCAGTGAAGAACAAACAGCTCTAAAAGCTTCCACTTTTTCTGAGCCCTCAAGTTCTAGAGGAGGAAGAGGTCATGGAAGAGGTGGACGTGGTAGAGGAAGAGGTGGTCGTGGTCATCGAGGTGGTGGACAGTCTGGACATAGAGATGATAGCAAGTCATCTCATGGTTTCAAAAGAGATGATGACTCTGAAGAAAAAGGAGCATATCACTTTGATAAGTCAAAAGTGGAGTGCTATAGATGTGGAAATTTTGGGCACTACAAGAATGAGTGCTATACGAAGTTACCAAAAGAAAAAGGAGAAAAGTCACACTTTGTGGAGAAAAAGAAAGAGGAAGAGACACTTTTGATGGCTTTTCATGCACTGACAGAAACTGATCAGGAGACATGGTATGTGGACACAGGCTACAGCAATCACATGAGTGGATGTAAGTCTTCCTTTATCAATTTGGATGAAAGCTTTTACACGGTAGTAAGTTTTGGTGACAAATCAACAGTGAAAGTGATGGGTAAGGGAGATATTCAAATCAGAACCAAAAATGACTTTATTGAAACTATCTCAAATGTTTTTTATATTCCTGATTTGAAGACAAATTTGCTGAGTGCTGGTCAACTTCAAGATAAAGGTTACAGGATTACAATCTATAAAGGAGAGTGTGAAGTGTACGATCCAAAAAGGGGTTCCATTGCTGTTGTAAAAATGTCTTCCAACAGATTGTTTCCTTTGAAAATCAAGACTGTGCAGGCTTGTTTGTTTGCCAAAGAAGATGACCCGTGGAGATGGCACTACAGATATGGCCATTTGAATTTTAATGGCTTGAGAACACTTCACCAGAAAGGGATGGTCACTGGCTTACCTGAGATAACTCCTCCATCAAAGGTGTGTGAAGAATGCATCACTGGGAAGCACAAAAGAGACTCTTTTCCTAGTGGCAAGGCAGCAAGGGCTCAATCAATCCTGGAGATGGTTCACTCTGATTTATGTGGACCAATAAATCCCATCTCAAATGGTAACAAGAAATATTTCATCTCCTTTACTGATGATTTTAGTAGAAAGACTTGGATCTATTTCTTGCAGGAAAAATCAGAAGCATTTGAAGCATTCAAAAGCTTCAAAGCTCTAGTTGAAAATGAATCAGAAAAGAAGATTAAAACACTAAGAACTGACCGAGGGGGAGAGTATTGTTCGAAGGAGTTTGAGGCATTTTGCAAAGAGAAAGGCAGTTGAAGACAGTTGACTACTGCCTATACACCACAACAAAATGGTGTAAGTGAGAGGAAAAATCGCACCATTCTCAACATGGTTCGAAGTCTGCTAGTCAAAGGAAGAATTCCCAAGAATTTTTGGCCTGAAGCTGTGCTATGGTCAGTTCACATCTTAAACAGAAGTCCCACATTTTCTGTTAAGAATATGACTCCTCAAGAAGCTTGGAGTGGATTGAAGCCTGCTGTTGATCACTTTAGGGTGTTTGGGTGCATAGCATATGCACACATCCCTGATGAGAAAAGAAAGAAGTTGGATGACAAAAGTGAAAAATGTGTTTTTCTTGGTGTAAGTGAAGTCTCAAAAGCATATAAACTGTACAATCCAGTTACAAAGAAGATAGTGATAAGCAGGGATGTGATATTTGATGAAGATACTATGTGGAATTGGTCTGAGAACATATCGGTTCAACAACAAATTCCAGTCAATGATGATTGATTCAGACAATGAAGAGGTAGCAGCAGCTCCTGACACTCAAGCCCAGCAGCCACCTCAACCTGAAGATCAGTCATCTCAACAGTTTGAAGAAGAGAGATACAATCTGAGAGATGAAAACTCAAGGAAGAGGCCAGCATGGATGATGGACTATGATGTAAGTTATTCAAGTTCTGATGATGAAAATGCTCACTTTGCATTACTTGTAGACAGTGATCCAATTACATATACTGAGGCTGTTAAAGAGGAGAAATGGAGGGAAGCAATGGACAATGAAATCAAGTCCATTGAGAAGAATCAAACTTGGGAGTTAACTGATCTTCCAAAGGGAAAGAAAACCATTGGTGTTAAATGGGTATTTAGAACAAAGTTGAACGAAAAAGGTGAAGTTGACAAG